GCCTGCTTTCTTCCTCTGTCTGCCGCTCCCCCTGCTTGTGCTCTCTCTCTCTGACAAATAAATAAAATCTTTTAAAAAGATAAATTTATTCCTAGATATTTTATATTTGCCAATGCTAGTTTAAAAGATTTTAAAATCGACATTTTCTACCTGTTTCAGAGAAATTGCTTTTAATGGTTTGTCATGAAGCATGTTTGCTACATTTTTTGTAGATGCTTTTTTATGATTAAGAAATTTCTTTTTTTTAAGTTTGTTTATATATTTATTTATTTTTAATAATATAATAATTTCTACACCCATTGTGGGGCTTGAACTCATGACCCCAAGATCAAGAGTTGCATGCTCTTCTGACTAAACCAGCCAGGTGCTCCACAATTAAGAAATTTCTTTTCTCAGATTTCTAATGTTCTTTATTTTTTTTCCTACCTCTATTAAAATGACCATGTCTTTTTTTTCCTACTTTAATTTTTTAGTATGGTGATTTTTCTAGTGTTAAACCAACCTTGCACTCCTCTGATAAACCTCACTTGGTTCTGGTGTATTTTTTAAATGTTGTTAGATTCAGATTGCTTCTATTTGTTTAGGTTTCTTGCCTATATGTTCATGTATAGAATTGGCTGTGATTTTCCTTTCCTGTACTGCCCTTGTCTGGTTTTGCTATCAGGGCTTCGTATAATGAGTTGTTGGGGGCTGGGCAGGGTTCCCTCTTTTCTGGGGGGATTTGTAAACTGGTATTATTTGTTCCTTGAACTGCCGTTGGATTTTGGATCACAAATATTTAGAAATAGAAGAGACTTAAGAGTCCACCTCTGTAACATCCTAGTCCTACTGACGCAGAATGAATTAAATGCTGAGGCTCAAATCCAGAGGGCATGGTTCTTTGTACCATGACTCAGCCATTTCATCATTTCAGAAACCCTAAAGTTAAGGTAACATCCATTTTATTACCTTTACACTGAAGTCCATGCAAATCCATGTAAGAGAGGCTTAGAAAATACCCCATTAACCCGACACACTTGGTCTCTTAGGTTGCTAGCCTTATCTGATTAGGTTGCAGAACCTAGCGGAGAAAGGGAGCCTTGGAAGACAGGCACCCTGACAGCTCAAGGAAAGCCTAGGAGAGCTGGCGGGAACCACACTGGTTCCACTGTTGAGTAGCAGCTCCGAGGGGCATTAATCTGTATATTGCCCAGTGGGATGATGGGTGATCACTTTCTTCTGAATATCAAAGAAATATTCACCATGTGGTATTTTTTATGAAAGTCGTAAAGATTCAATATGCTTTTTGGAAAATTTCCCTAAAAACAGCAAAAATAAAATGGTTGGGTGCTCCCCTGCTCCTATTATCTGGAATATTTCTTCATCCAGCAGACATTTCTTGAGCAGCCTCTAGGGTCAAACAGTGCTCTTAGGGCTGTTCACCTTTGAGAACCTGTTCCTACCAGGATGGATAAGAGTGCTTTTACCATATTTGGGAATTAGCAAACTGCTTCAGTTCACCAGTTAGTTCATTTCTAGCGCTTGTCCCTAATGATGTAAGGAAGCAAAAGAAATGTACCTTCCTTATCTAGAATGACTTCAGCAGATTTGCAGGCTCAAGGTCTATCCAGTTGGCTATCTAGATGTGTTTTGGGCTTTATGTTGGTGGGCTTTATTTTTTGTCTATGAAGATGTGTGCCATGTCACATAGCACAATGGTATATTAAATTCATTCAGACTACATTTCCTCAGCTGTGGACCTCCTTCCTCTTCCATTAGCAGGAGAGAACCACCCATCACTCATGTAGCTTTATTTGAAATCTAACTCTGTTGGGATCTTGTGCCTTCGTGGTGGGAATGTGTGTTGAGGGGGGCGGAATGTGGAGGGAGGGAGGGTACACATACCTTGACAGTCCAGTTAACAATCGACCTTGGCAGTTCTGCAGTTGACAGATGGTCTTAGTTTGCCCTCAGCTGAGTTGACAAGACTCTTCTCTCGCCCTTGACTCTCAGCTGTGAGACCCTGACCTGGTCTGACAAGTATACTCTTTAGGGGAATAGAGGGCAGGGTTGAGAGTAGATAGTTTGTGAGTTCTCTCTTAGCCCTAAAGTTGTGACTTTTTGAGCCTCCAAACATTGTGGAAACAAATGAAAAAATGATATACATTGAGAGGCAGAATGCCACATGATATTAAAATGGATTAAAAATTAGCAAAATGTAAAAATATCAAATAGGCAAAGGGAATTAAGAAAAAATATATGTGCAAAATGTATAATACAGTTCCTTTTCCCATGTGGCCTATTTTTACATTAGGGGACCATATTATATAAAAATACATACTATTTGGTCCTAGATTCCTACAGCTCATATTTTTGAGATTGGGCTTTGATGATACTTTTTGAAGAATCCAGTCCTTAAAAAATGCAGCTACTCTTGCTTTACTGATAGAAGTAAAAAGAAAAAAAAAGTGAGTACTTGAAGAAAGAATATTGGAACCTTATTGTGAGTTGAAAAATGTAACCTTCACTGTAATATGGCCCATAATCTAATGCAGATATGGTCTGAAAGCCTTGCTGCAGCCTCCAGTGTGGTCCACCTGTCCTTCGGGAAAGGAAGGACATGTGGGAAAACCAGTGTACAATTAAAAAATAATTTGATCACATGCTTCAGCTTGGTTGGGTACTTGCTGACAAAACTCTGTCTCCCTTTTCTCTATCAGCTGAAGCACTTAAGCACCCTCCAGTGAGGGATTCCCTAAATTCTTGGCAGAAGTTATTCAAACCTAATTTAGTAAATTTAAGGGGACCAATTTTGTGTTTATCAGGCTCAAATAACATAAAGATCTACCTAGTTTTCAGGGCAACCTTTACAAATGTTGTTTTCAAACACATGTTCCTGATTCTCTAGGAGCTTATTTTTTCCATTTACACCTATTTCTAAATGGGGTTACTAGGTGAATGACCTTCAGAATTTTTCTAAATCATATGCACTACATCATTCAGAGAATAGAAATGAATAATTAAAGTGATTTGGGGTTTGGATAAAGATGTTTTTGTCCATTAAAAAAAAAAAAATAGAATCGGGTGCCTGGGTGGCTCAGTTGGTTAAGTATCTGACTTTGCTTGGGTCAGGATCCCAGCCATTGTGAGACCAGGCCCTCTGTAGGGCTCTGCACTCAGCAGGGAGTCTGCTTCTCCCTCTCTCTGTGCCCCTCCCCCCGCTCATGCTCTTTCTCAAATAAATAAAATCTTAAAAAAAATAGAATCAAAGGTTATCACATTTTGAAAAAAAAATCATCCGATTTTAAATCATCACCATTGACTAAGTAGTTGTTAACACTCCTCAAGGGCCTACTGTTTTATACAAGTTTCATCAGGGGTTTTCATATATCATTTTATTTAATCCTTTTGATAATTTTGAGTTAGGTATTACTATCCCTGTTTTTTAAATTAGTAATCTAGGACACAGAAATAAGTGTTTTTCTTGTAATGAAACCAAGTACGCTGAAACCGCACTGTCCATTATGGTAGCCACTGACCACAGGTGTCGAACACTTGACATGTGGCCAGTCCAAATTAAGATGTGCTGGAAACAGAAAATAACACACCTGATGCACCTGACTTCAAAGACTAAGGTAAAACACTAAGAATGTAAATACTTTTATAGTGATTACATGCTGAAATGATAATATGTTGGATTTATTAGGTTAAATAAAAATATTATTAAAATGAATTTCCTCTGTTTCAGTTTATGTTTTTATTAACTGCAACTGCTAGAAAATTGAAAACTACATCTCTGGCTTGCATTCTGTTTCTGTTGTACCATGCTGCTCTAACATCCGTACACACATTGGAACGGGCAGATAGTTCCGTGTACGAGGCTTATGAGTTATGGCCTCCTTTTCACCTCATTCCTTCCTCCAGAGCAGCTCTCTTCACCTTGCTCTTCATGGTGGAGCCAAGTTTAGCATTTAACAGTTGGTTCCATATCACTAAATTACTTGCTGTATTTCTGCTTAACTATTAATCAGTTGCGGTGGTGGTTGTTACTGTTTTATATTGATTTTAGGCTTTGCTTCTGAAACATCCCCTTAGCATTCAAGGGAGCTCTCACTCAGTTTAACCTCTATGCCCCTGCTGTATAATATGCACATACACATATATTCCCCATCCTCGTAATTTTGCTGTAAACGTAACATTGCTTAGGTCAAGATTCAGTGTTTGTTATCATAACTACACATGCTAGCCGTAACTGAGCTGTGTATGAAGTACTCTCTTTATTTTTGGCACAATTTTTATTTATCCTAGGATCAATAATTGCCTAGCTTTCCATGTTCCTGTCCTAATTCAATCTCAGATTCTCCACCAGTTGTCTAAAGTGAGTTTTGCATGCTCGCAGATGCTTTTGAGGATGCATCTCCTGGAGACGTTGAAACTGCTGTAGCCCCCGCTCATGGTTCTCTCCTGGTCTAGCCCATGATCTCATGCAGGGATCTGCTTTCACCAGATCCTAGGATTTCCTCTGCCTTTTGCCTGTCTTGGCCTTCCTCTTTCCTGTATCTTCCTCTTTCTTGGTTAATTTCCTCATTTTGGTGAAGCACATCTTCAGTTAAGCTTCCTGAGAAAGGATGCATGGGACTTAAATTTTTTAAGACCTTGCATGTCTAAAAATGCCCCCTCCCCGTCATGTTTAAATGCAATTGGAGGTTGGAAACAGTTTTCTTTAGAATTTTGAAGATACTTCTCTATTGTCTTTTAGTCTCCGGAGTTGCTTTGAGCCATTTGGAGCCAAACATTCACTGACCACCCCTTCCACCCACCTCCCACCCTCTTTTTAAAGATTTTTTTTTTTAATCTCCAATGCCTGATGTTTTACAGTGATATATGCCCTAATATGAGATGTTTCCATCCTAACTTTCATGTATGGGTCCTTTAATTTTTAATTAAATTTAATTTAATTGTACGGTCCTTTAATTTTTAATTTATTCTCTTATTTTTCATCTTTTTTATTTTTGCTGAAGTTTCTGAATGACTTCCTGAACTTGGTCCTTCAGCACTTCTGGTACGTTTTTTTATTTCAGCCATCACTTTAATTTGTTGTTTTCTGAAAGTTCCTTATTTTTTGTTATTGTATTTATTGCTTTATGGTTGCAATATCTCCTATCTCCCTGATAATAATGATTCTTAAAAAATGGTTTCCTGCTCCCTGCATAGTTTCAGTTTTGGCCAAGTAGTTTCTTTCCTGTTTGTTTTGTTTTCTTTCATGATAGAGTCTTTCCTTAGATGGCAGGTGATTCCTGGTTGTTTACTTGTATTCAAGAGTGGGGTATTAAAAAGATGGAAGGCAGTTCTCCATGCAGATGTGGGGCTTGTGGGTGTTTGCTTCACTTTAGAACCATCCATCTAGGCTGTTTCCTTGGGGAATCCCTGATGTCAGTACTTCTAGATCCTACCTTTTAGGTTAGTCCAGTCCCTGAATGGTTTCAGTCTCATATTTGGAGAGGCTAGGCAGTGTAGAGGGGTGTATTAGACAAGGTTCTCCAGAGACCCAGAACCAATAGAAGGTATATATAATTATTATAGGAATAGGCTCATGCAATTATAGAGACTGAGAAGTTCCATGATCTGCTGTCTGCCAGCTGGAGAACAAGGAAAGCCTGTGTGTAATTCATTCTCAGTCCAAAGCCTGCGAACCAGGAGTGCTTAAGTCTGAGGGCAGGAGAATATGGGTGTCCCAACTCAGAGATCGCGAATTCATCCTTCCTGCACCTTTTGTTCTGTTTGGGCCCTCAGCGGATTGAATGATAACCACCCACACTGGGGAGGGCCATTGGCCTTACTGAGTGCACCAATTCAAATCATGATTTCTTCCAGAAATACCCTCACAGATATGCCCAGAAATAATATCTTATTAGTTGTCTGGGCATCCCTTAGCTCAGATAAGTTGACACATAAAATTAACCATCATAAGGGACATGCGGGTTGGGGAAGATATCAATCAGTTTGTAAATGTTCCCTTAATTTTCTCTTTTTTCAGTAGGGTACCCCCTACTTTATGCTGTGCCTGGTGTTTTCCAGACCAGAGATCCTCTGTCTTACTCTCTCCAAAAAATAATTCTCTACGTTTCTGCAAGGGTGAGAGAGGGCAGTTGACCTGGCTGAGCATAGTAAAGGGGAGTAGACTCTTGAATGATACAGGTTTGAACTGTGTGGGTCTACTTATACATGGATTTTTTTTTTTTTTTTTCGATAAATACAATACGGTCCTGGGGTGCGTAGGTGGCTCAGTCGGTTCAGCGTCTGCCTTCGGCTCAGGTCATGATCCCGGGGTCCTGGGATCAAGCCCCACATCGGGCTCCCTGCTCAGCAGGGAAGCCAGCTTCTCCCTCTCCCTCTGCCTGCTGCTCCCCCCTGCTTGTGCTATCTCTCTCTCGCTATCAAATAAATAAAATCTTTAAAAAAAAAAAGTACTGTAAATGTATTGTCTCATGATTTTGGGGGGGCAGAGGCAGAGGGAGAACAAGAATCTTAAGCAGCTCCATGCCCAGCGTGGAGCCCAACGTAGGGCTCAACCTCACAACCCTGAGATCATGACCTGAGCCAGAGCCAAGAGTCGGACACTTAACCGTCTGAGCCACCCAGGTATTAACCGTCTGAGCCCCAATGGTATTAACTCTTTAAACGTCTGATAGAATACATCTAAGCCTATGCTTTCCTTTGTTGGTGGTTTTTAAGTTTCTAATTCAATATTATATATATATTTCAATAATTTATATATATAAAAAAGTAGGCTCCACTCCCACCGAGCAGCCCAGCATGGGGCTTGAACCCATGACCCTGAGATCAAGAGTCAGATGCCTTACTGACTGAGCCCCCCAAGGCCCCCAATATTTTATATATATATATATTTTTTAAGGTTTTATTTATTTGAGAGAGAGACAGACAGAGATAGTGAGAGAGAGCACGAGCAGGGAGAAGAGGGAGAAACAGGCTTCCCGCTGAGCTGGGAGCCCGATGCGGGGCTCAATCCCAGGATCCTGGGATCATGACCTGAGTCGAAGGCAGATGCTTAATGACTGAGCCACCCAGGCGCCCCAATATAATATATCTTTAAGACTAGTTTTAAGTCAACATTTATCTTGCAAATACTGTTATTTGATTATTCAGCCAACCTTTCTCCTATATATTATCCAAATAGAGATTTTGATATACCTACTTGTAACTTTTTTTCTTCTATTTAAAGGTCTGTAATTACTCTGGAATCAGTAAGCCATGGCGTCAAAGAAATTTGCCGTTAAAGTAAGTAGTGCTTAATAGTCCTTAAAATGGTTAATCATTTTCTAATATAACTGAGTTCTGTGTTCATTGACAGATGAAGCTCTGAACTTGCCTTCTACTCTTTAAATTAGTGTCTTTACTGAAAACTTTAGGTGATTGAAGATTTGCATGTTAAGAATGGGGGGGGGAGAAAAAAATAGTTCATATGGTTATGGGAGTTTCTTGCTTCAAGTCTTCTGTAAGAGCCATTAGGTCATAACTTGGTCCTTAATGTTAAAAATTGTCATTCACATACGTATGTGCGTGACATGATTTTTGATAATGACAAAGCAGATAAAAATGAAGTAGGCAGCAAATGCTGCAGGTGGGTGAATGCCAGGAGAGAGGTCTCTTGCCCGGCTGCCCTCTTTTGTTTTCTTTTTATAAGTATCTCTTCTCTATCCCTTGATGGCTGAGGCTGAGACCTTCTCAGGTGTGGGGGGCTGGGAGAACTATGTGTGAAGGGTGGTGGTAAAGGAGAGGGGAAGAATTGATAAATAGTGGCTGTGAGGTGTCTGAGATGCCTTCACCTATGCTGGCTGTTGAGGACATTTTTTCTGTGCTAGTGTTATATTAAGTAGGTTCAAAACACCAAAACAGACAAATTACAGTAGTTAACCAGATCAGATACTACTTAATATTGTAGTTATATCTTATTTTTACCAAGTCCTGGATTTACAATGTATTTATAAATTTCATTGTTTATCCACGTGTTCTGTAGTATTTCTTTTTATGAGAGATTATAAGTGGTGAACTTTCATCATTTGTCTTTCTAAAAAATGTGGCTTTGTCTTAACTCTAGAAAATTGGTTATAGAAGTCTAGGTTGAGCATTATTTTTCCTTGGCATTTGAAAGATATTTTCCGTTGTCTTCTGGGATCTGTTATGGCAACTGAGAAACTCTGTAGTTATTGATTGATGTTTAAAACCACCTTAAAACTTAGTAGCTTAAAACACAAGCCATTTTTTTCTCTCTTGTGATTGTGTAGGTTGCCTGGTAGCATTTGGGTCATTTCTCTTTTTGATGGTGGCCGGGGCTGCAATTAACTGGGACCCCAGTTCAGCTGGAACATCAAAGATGACATGCTCACACGGCTGTCCCTTGATACTGGCTGTGGTTGGGAGCTCACCTGGGGCTGGTAATTGTTGCCCGACACTTCTCATTCACATGGCTGCTCTTTGTGGCTTGGGCTTCTCCTAGCGTGGTGGCTGAGTTTGAGGGATGGTGTCCCAGAGCAAGAGTTGCTAGAAGAAAGAAGAGAATTTGCCAGTTCTTTGAAGGGTTGGGCTCAGAAGTCTCACTTGGCACTTATACTACATTCTGTTGGTCAGAGCACTCAAAGGGCCCAGGCGAAGGGAAGCTGCAGCTTTTGATGTGAGAAGGAGCATGTGCCCACAGGGAAGCGAAGATTTATGGGGGGGGGGGGGGTGGGGGCATACATTTGTGGAGACTAGTAACTATTTTTTTTAGATTTTATTTATTTATTTGACAGAGAGAGACACAGCGAGAGAGGGAACACAAGCAGGGGGAGTGGGAGAGGGAGAAGCAGGCTTCCTGCAGAGCAGGGAGCCCGATGCGGGGCTCGATCCCAGGACCCTGGGATCATGACCTGAGCTGAAGGCAGACACTTAACGACTGAGCCACCCAGGCGCCCCTGTGATTTCTTTCTTGGTTATCTTGGTTATCAACTTTTTTCTTTCTAGCTGTTCTTAAAATTTTGTTTTTGGCTTTGATGTTTTATAATTTCACTATGAAGCCTGAAGCCATAGACTTGTTTTTATTTATCTGGCTTGGGATGCAATGCACATCTTTATTTGAAAGATGCAAGTCTTTTATCAGTTTTGGAAAATCTCAACCATTTTCTCTTCAGGTACTACCCTTTATCCTCTCTGTTCTCTTCTGGAACTGTTATACTAAGTTTTCTGGGTAGTCTCATGTAATAGTTTCTTATGTGTTGCTAGGGTGATCTTAACTTGTCCAAGGTGGAGCCCCTGCAGGCTGTCTGTCTGCAGAGCTCTGCTAAAACTGGCAGTGGCCCAGTAGAGCAGACAGTTCTGGTCAACTGCAGATTTTGGACCCGAGGTGCCTGATTATGTCAGAGATGAGTCTCTTGATTTCTAGGCCATGCACATGGATGGGGCAGATTCTGCTACCTTATTGCCCCATCTCACAGCCACACCAGCAACTTGGAACTTAGCTCCTCGATCATGCCAGACAGGGGAGTTACTCCAACCATGAGTATCAAATTAGCAAGTTAGGGATACAGACAGCATTCTGACACATTATGTGGAAGATTGTGTGCATCATGTTGTGATTGTCTCTGTGCCTCTGATCACACAGGCAGGGTGCCAGTGCTTCCCAATCATGCAGCTTAAAAAGCACCACAACCCAAACATTGGGATCCCATTCTGAATGTCTGACATCCTTCCTGCCAGATTGTCTGTGCTGGCCTAGGGTATCATGGGCAGCAGGGAACCCACACACCTGCCACCAGTGCTGACATCACGTGCCTTTTCTGATGAATGCTGCTCCAGTAGGCTTGTATGAGTGCCCCTTGGCCATTTGCCTTTTCTTCTTTCTCTTTATATCTCTGTTGCATTCAGAATGCTTTTTATTAGACCTCTTCCAGTTCGTTAACATCTTCTCATCTGGATTTAATTTGCTGTTTAATCTGTATTTAATCTACTCTTTAACTTGTTTATTTTAAGTGACTATATTTTTCAGCTGAGAATTTGTGTTTGGTTTATTTTTTTTTTAATTCAAATTCTACCAGTCCTTTTTTTATATACTTGCCCTATTTTTAAAATATGTTCCCATATCCTTTTATCTTCTTTATAATTTTAAAGTATTTTGTTTCATAGTGTCTTGTAGATTGTTCTATTATTTCCATTATTATTTAGTAAGTGTGGAATAAATTGGTGATTGAAATTGCTGGATTGTTCATGGGTGTAATTTTTAATTGTGTGCTCATTTTCAGTCACATCCTACACATGCGTGCGTGCACATTCACGCGCATGCATGCACACACACACACACACGCACACACACTCTAGGGCAGTTGAGCAGTTTCTAGTTTACTTCTGCTGGAGCCACTGGTATTTCAGTGGTTTTGGACCAGGCTTCACATTAATTTCATGGCTTGGGATTCCACCACCTTGTGGCTAGTACAGCTTTGCAAGCCACAATGGAGTCTGGTGCAAGGTTGGTGTTTTTAGTATTTTCTAGTATTTTCCTTGCTGTTCTCCTTTCCCTTCCTTCGTGCTGAAGCCCTGGATGGATGGCAAGCTTCCGTGTTGCTTCCCTTGGTCTGCAAGCAGTGATTTTTTTTTTTTTTTTTCTAGTTGCATTTTCATGAAGGTCACAGTTTATCAAGAGAATGAAGGAAAAAACTCTATAGAATAGTTCCTGCTCCAAGAAATTATGGACCTGTATGAACCATAGAGTATTACATGAGGACGTCTGCACATCCAGTACTTATTTATGTGTCACGCACTGTACAAAGAACTGAAGTTGAAGTTCTTTACAGCTCTGGGCTTAACTGGAATGAGTTCCTTCTGAACTCTTCTACCCCTTTTGGGCATTAGGATTCCAGCTCTCCGCTACCCTGGCTCCCACATATTCTGACTGCCAGGTTCAAACCTTCCATCAGGGTGATTTTTTTTCCTCCCTTCTCCCCACTTTATTGAGATATAATTGACATATAACATTGTGTAAGGTTACGGTGATTTGATAAGCATATGTGGTGAAATGTTTACCACGATAAAGTTTTAACACATCCTTTACCTCACATAATTGTTGTTCTTATGGTGCAAACATTAAAGCTCTACTCTTGTAGCACCTTTCTAGGATACAATACAGTATTGTTAATTGTAGTCACCATGCTATACATTAGATCCCCAGAACTTCCTCATCTTGTAACTGGAAGTTTATACCCTTCGACAAGAATCTTTCTATTTTCCCCACCACTTAGCCCCTGGCAGCCACCATTCTATTCTATGAGCTTGATGTTTTTAGATTCCATATATACGTGAGATCATATGTATTTGTCTTTCCTTTTTTTTAATGGCTAAATAATACTCCATTGTGCAGGATTTCCTTTTTTTTAATGGCTAAATAATACTCCATTGTGTATTTTCGCCACATTTCTTTATTCATTCATCCATCAGTGGACACTTAGGTTGTTTCCCTGTCTTGCCTATTGTGAATAATGCTGCAATGAACATGGGGTGCAGATGTCTCTTTGAGATAGTGACTTCATTTTCTTTGGATATATACCCAGAAATGGAATGGTTAGGTCACATTGTAGTTCAATTTTTAGTTTTTTGAGAAAGCTGCATACTGTTTTCCATAGTGGCTGCACCAGTTTATATTCCCACCAATCACTTTCTCCACATCCTCACCAGCATTCCTTATCTCTTGCCTTTTTGATAGTAGTCATTCTAGCAGGGGTGAGGTGATATGGATTTGATTTGCATTTCTAAAGGAGCGATTATTAGTACTGTTAGGGGTTTGTTTATTTAGGAATCTTTTCAAACAGAGAACCCTCTTTTGGCTTTGATTTTTTTTTTCCCTATAGTGTACTTGTTTTCTCTTTTATGGATTTTTTTTATGATTTTCTCCCTTATATTTCTTTTGAGCAAATTTGCTCTTCTCTGTCCAGTTTAAGATGGGAGCTTAAATCATGGAATTTGAGCATTTCTTTTCTAATATATAAACACTTAAAGCTGTAAATTTTTCTCTCTAAGCCTTTATTGCTTTAATTATATCCCTCTTGTTTTGTTAGAGATGAAGTTAAAGTAGAGATTTTGTTTGTCAAATAAACATATTTTCTAATTCTCGCTGTTACTTCATTTTTTTCCCTCTTTGAGTGAGAGAGAGAGATAGAGAGAGAGCAGAGGGTGAGTGAGAGAGAAAATCCTAAATAGGCTCCATGCCCAGCATGGAGGCCAATGCAGGGGTTGATCTCATGACCCTGAGATCA